CTTGGGGGGGGGGGGAGTCTTAAAGCAAAATGCGAGCCAGGTGTGGTGGCACACACCTTTGATTCCAGCACTTGAGAGACAGAGGCAGGCCTCTGAGTTCAAAGTCAGCCTGGTTAATATTGTAAGTTCTAGTCCAGTTGGGGCTACAAAGTGAGGCCCTCTCAAAAAACAAAACAAAAAAGCAAGATGCAGAATAAGATAATAATCAAAGGCTAGGGATGCAGCCTGGAGCTACATAGAGAGGTTACCCAGCACCACAAAAACAAAATCTAAAAATGTAAAATGTGTAATACAATCTTTTTTGTTATTGTTGTTGTTTTGTTTTGTTTTTGTTTTTCAAGACAGGGTTTCTCTGTGGTTTTGGAGGCTGCCTGGAACTCACTCTTGTAGACCAGGCTGGTCTCGAACTCACAGAGATCCACCTGCCTCTGCCTCCAAAATGCTGGAATTAAAGGTGTGTACTACCACCCCTGGTCACAATCGCATTTGATTTAACAATTTTAGACATAGGTAACGGGAAAACATCTGAAAGTAGTGTATTGGACAGTCACATTTGGGTATAGAAATTTCCTTCTGGTGCACACCTTTTTTTTTTCTCTTAAGATAGGATGTCATGGAGCCCAGGATGGCCTCAGACTTACTATGTAGCCAAAGATGACCCTGAACTTCTGTTCCTCCTGCCTCTGTGTGCCAAGGGCTGGGATCACAGGTGTGCACCATCATGCCTGGTTTATGCAGTGCTGGGGACGGAGACCAGGTCTTGATGCATGCTACACAACCATTCTTTCTTGTAAACTCTAGGACTATGATTGGTTCTTATGTTTAATAAGACAATCACTGGGATGTGGAGAGATGGCTCAGCTGCTAAGAGCACTTGCTGCTCTTCCAGAGGACTCAAGTTTGATTCTCAGCATTCATATGGTGGCTCACAACTGCTAGTAACTCCAGTCGTCACCTGGCCTTAGCAGGCATCTGCATTCATGTGTGCCTACCAGACGTAAACCCACACACATTAACAAAATCTTTAAAAAATAACCTTTTTCTGATTAACAAACAAGCAGAACACAGGAAAAAAATCTACAAGGAAAGGGGATTAATTCACGAGAGACTAAACATATATACAGATTCATGCATACACATACACATACACACACACACACACACACTGTCTTAGGGTTTCTCTTGCTGTGAAGAGATACACACACACACACACACACACACACTGTCTTAGGGTTTCTCTTGCTGTGAAGAGACACCATGACCACAACAACTCTTACAAAGGAAAACATTTAACTGGGGTAGCTCACTTATAGTTCAGAAATTCAGTCCATTATTGTCATGGTGAGACATGGTGGCATGCTGGCAGACATGGGCCTAGAGATGTAGTGAGTGTCCTATATCTTGCAGGCAACAGGAAGTGGTCTCATTTAGTGGGCATGGCTTGAGCATTCATGAGAACTCAAAGCCCACTTCCACAGTGACACATTCCTTCAACAAGGCCATACTCACTCCAACAAAGCTACACCTCCCAACAGTGCCATTCTCCATGAGCTTATGGAGGCCAATTACATTCAAACTACCACATACACTCTTTAGGAAAGTCAGAGAAACTACTTTCTAGTAAAATTAAGATGTTGCAATCTATCAGTCGTTTTTTGTGCTACAGTGAAATGTATAAACGGTCTTTCTTCTTTCACCTGCAAACCAACTCCTTCAGACTCTTGGATCTCTACTGTGTTAAGAATGCCTTCTATATGCTATTACAATGACTGGGTTAAGAGCTGTGCCCCTAAAGTGAACCAGGATGTGGATGACCACTAGAGACTGACATGATTACATAGTTCAACTTGAATCCAGGCACACACCTATAATACCACACTCAGAAGAATTTATGGCCAGGCTGAGCTACAAGGCAAGCCCAGTCAATGTTTTGCTTAGTTTTCTATTTTTCTCGCTATCCTTCCTCCTTCTTTTGTTGTACTGGGATCAAACCCAGGAATTTGCACATGCTAGAAAAGTGTTCTAATCCTGAGATATATTCCCAGGCCCTGGGACACTGTGTCTCAAAGAGAAAAAGAGAAGGGGGAGAAGCTTTCATTTCTTTTCTTTCTTTTTTTTTTTTTTTTGGTTTCTCGAGACAGGGTTTCCCTGTGGCTTTAGAAGGCTGTCCTGGAACTAGCTCTTGTAGACCAGGCTGGTCTCGAACTCACAGAGATCCACCTGCCTCTGTCTCCCAAGTGCTGGGATTAAAGGCATGCACCACCAACGCCGGCGAAACTTTCATTTCTAACCTCTGATCTCCAGAAGAGCTGAAAACAAAGCTGATCACCAATGGCCAAGGATGTCACAGTCAACCTATGTAACATGAGGGTGCTGGAGGGTGGCTCCCCAAGGGAGAACATGGGAGCTCCTCACACCTCGCCTACACACCCTCTACCTGCCTGTACATCTAGACCCTTTGTTATACCCCTTGTTAAGAAACAAGTTGTCCAAAACCATGTTTCTCTGAGCTCTGTGAGTGGCTCTACAAAAATAATCAGATTCAGGCAACAGGACAACCTATCACTTTCTTTTCTTTTTTGTTTTTTGTTTTTGTTTTTTTGAGACAGGTTCTCACTATGTAGCTCTGGCTGTTCTGAAACTCACTATGTAGACCAAGCTGGCCTCAAACTCACAGAGATCCGCCTGCCTCTGCCTCCTGAGTGCTGGGATTAAAGGAGTGCACCACCACCACCGGCTGCCTTTCTCCTTTTAATCCAGCCAGAGCCAGTCTACTTCCCTCCAGGGAGGAAAGGGAATGGGCTTTATGCCACACCAGGGCTCCACAAACAAGTTTCAGCTGTCCAGAAGAAACTCATCTACAGAGGCAGAGAGATGAATGGCTGTTTAAGCTGGGTGTGGTACTAATTAATACAAATAGATGGCTGGACTGGAGGCCATCTAAGGCTGCAGAGAGTGACCCTGTCTTTAAAAATAAAAATAAAAAAAGCTGGCCAGGTGGTGGCGGCACTTGCCTTTGATCCCAGCACTCGGGAGGCAGAGGCAGGCAGATCTCTGAGTTTGAGGTCAGCCTGGTCTACAAAGTGAGTTCCAGGACAGCCAGGGCCACACAGAGAAACCCTGTCTCAAAAAAACAAAACAAACCAGAAGCTGATTAGATGGCTCAGTGAGTAACACATGGAAAGCGGAGTCCACAATGTTGTTCTCTGACCTCCATGTGACCCTCAAAGCACACCTCCTCTAGACAATAACATGAGATTTTTTTTTTTTTTTTTTTTTTTGGTTTTTCGACAGGGTTTCTCTGTGTAGCTTTTGACAATAACACGAGATTTTTTTTTTTTTTTTTTGGTTTTTCGACAGGGTTTCTCTGTGTAGCTTTGGAGCCTATCCTGGCACTCCCTCTGGAGACCAGGCTGGCCTCCCCCTCACAGAGATCTGCCTGCCTCTGCCTCCCAAGTGCTGGGATTAAAGGCGTGAGCCACCAACGCCCAGCAAGATTTTATTTTTTACTTGTATGGGTGTTTTGTCTGCATGTACATATGTGTATCATATGCATGTCTACTTCCCACAGAAGTCAGAAGGGAACATTAGATTCCCCTGGAACTGGAGCTACAGACTGTTGTGAGCCACCATGTGGGTGGTGGGACTCAAACCCAGGATCCCAGTGCTCTTAACTACTGTGCCATCTCTCAGCCCCTAATAATAAATTTTAAAATTTAAAAAAAAAAAAAGAAGTGTCACACCTCCCCATCTTCAAATAAATAAAAAAGCTGCTCAGAGTCAGAGGCAAGAGGAATGATTTTCGATGATTGTTAATAATTCTGGAATGCAGAAGATGCTCTAAAATTGACTGGTGACAGTTGCGTACTTCTGTAGATACACTAAGAACCACATGGATGATGTACTTTTTTTTTGGTTTGGTTTGGTGTTTTGAGACAGGGTTTCTCTGTGTAACAGCCTTGGCTATCCTGGAACTCACTCTGTAGACCAGGCTGGCCTCAAACTCAGAGATCCACCTGCCTCTGCCTCTGGGATTAAACACGCCCCACTGGAATAATCTACTTTAACTGGATGAACTACATAATCTGTGTCTGAACACTGCAGTCAAACTGCCAATGGAGGTTGGAAACAAGAGCAACAGGGAACCTCATCTGGTACACATGTACCAGGGACTCTATGGCCTTGTCCACCACAGGCTCATCTCCTCCACTGGGATGCCCTTTTACTTCTGCTATATACATTGTTCTTTGGTTTGGGGAATGAGCAACTTCCCCACGCCCCACCTCCACAGTTGAAACCTTTAGAATTTTGTTATTATTATTATTATTATTATTATTATTCTTTTTCCTGAGACACGGTTTCTCTGTGGCTTTGGAGGCTGTTCTGGAATTAACACTTGTAGCACAGGCTGGTCTCAAACTCACAGAGATCCGCCTGCCTCTGCCTCCCGAGTGCTGGGACTGAAGGCGTGTGCCACCACAGTCAGGCTGTTTTAATTATTTTCATTCATGTACATAATGTATTTTAATGATATTCATTCCCCCATTATCTTCTCTTGTTCCCTAGCTACTTTTTTCCAGTAAGCTTTGTAGAGATATTTTGCTGTTTGTGGTTATAAATAAAAAGTCTGAGGCCAGCCTGGGCTATATGCAACTCTGTCTCAAATTTAAAGATATATATAAACATATATATTATTGAATATGTATACATTCAACAGAGAGTTATGGGCTTTTGTCTTTTTCTTTTCTGGGTTGGCAGGACCCTTAGATGCAAGCTGAGCACACTTTCCCGATTAAGTGTCTGACAGATTTGTTCTTTCGAACATAAAACAAACTGTTTATACGTAGAGATGGCTAACTGGGAAAGATTCGACTGAAAAAACATGCACCCATGAAACTCACACAAGCATGCTATCAGCCTAAAGCAAGTTAGCTACAAATAGGAGTGACAGAGTCTGGGTAAGGATAGGGTTGATGGAGGAGCCTTTGTGGGTTCCCAGAGGGAGTCTTCCCCTCTCGGCCTCCCAAGCCCAGTGCTGGACTAAAGGGGCAATACAACACTGTGGCTCCATGAGCTTCAAAGTCCCATACCCAGACTGGAAACTATAATCAGTAGGTTAGAATGAGTCAGGCGTTGGTGGCGCACGCCTTTAATCCCAGCACTCAGGAGGCAGAAGAAAGCGGATCTCTGGGAGTTCGAGGCCAGCCTGGTCTACAGAGCAAGTGCCAGGGTAGCCAGGGCTGCACAGAGAAACCCTGTCTCGAAAAACCAAAAGAACCAAAAGGTCAGAATGGAAAAGCAAGGCCTCCTAACAGCTCAGGAGCACGACTCTGTTAGTAGCACTCACAGTAAAGAGCTTTGACCCTGGGATAAAAGTTAAATGGCAAACACGCTCTGTATCCAGGCGGAACTGTAATGCACAGAACACCAAACCTTGTGTGGGGGTTAAGATGAGAAAAGGACTTGCTAGTCAACATTTCTCAGATGGGTTATCTCTTCCCCCTACACACACACCTTGGGGCAGAAGGTCAAAGAGCATCTCTGGCTGGAGGTCTGAAGTGGCCTCTCACTTCTTCAGTTACCCAAGACAGCATCCGAATATCTCACCTCATAGTCTTTCCTTGGAAGGATCTCATCCTCCTCTTCCTGTGTCTCCCCAAGGATGGTCTAAAAAAAAAAAAAAAAGGTTCACAAAATGTTGACCTTTTTGCTGGTAAAGGGTGGAAGGAGGGAAGTCATACTAAAATCTAAATCAGGTGGCGCCATCACCAAAGAGAGGAACAAAATTTCAAAAACACATTTGGGATGAGTGTTTGGTCACTAGTGAGATGTACAGTTCTATTGCTTGACACATTCCCCCAGTCATAACGCTCACCTACAGGCCACCTGAAAGATGTCTGATGGCAGCTTGGTGAGGAGGGGAAAACTCGGGTTTCATTTGACCACAGACGGAATATGAAATCAGAGGGTAGGTGTCAACTCTGAGCACACAAGCTCAAGTTTTCCCAGGTTGCTTTGCAGGGGTGGGGTGGGGGGGAAAGCTGGGTCATCAGTGTGACCCAGAAAGAGTGAAGGATGGGGTGAGAAAAGGCTGGAGAGACTAAACCAGCTGCATGAGCGTCATCAGCTCTTGCGAGAGGGCTCGTTCTCAAAGCGCTCGCTCCATTCAAAACTCCTTCCCGGTGGCAATAAAAGGAAACACG